TGGATGGAGCTTGGAGCAATCTAGGGTAGTGGAAGGTGTCCCTGACCGTGACAAGGGGTGGAACAAGATGGTCTGTATCCCAAACCATTCTGTGGTTCTACAATTTGCCCAATCTCCCACTTTTGTGTTTTTTTAACCACCTTTGCATTTAATTTCCAGCAAATTTGGAGACCACAGAGCCAGAGGAGCTCTGCCCCAACCTGCATAGAGAAGGGTAGCACTGTGGGAGCTGTGCAGATGCCTGGAATGCCCAGCTGTGGAGCTGGATACGCCGATGGCTCTGGAGTTCACAGCTCCCCCACAGCACCCCAGCACCGTGCCCTGCGGTTTCCCAACCCTCGGGAACTCACAGGCACACGTAAACAGGGCAGTTCTGCAGAGGTCGTGGAATTAGCAGGAAAAAGCTGGCTAAGCAGAACGCTCTCCTTCCCAAAGGGTGTAATTTACTCGAGGCTGATTCAGCGGAGAGAGGACACGGCCAGCCCCGAGTGTGGCCTGGCAGCTCGGGGCTCCCCAAGCCCGCGGGACCGGGGGGCTCCAGCAGGGAGGGTCCTCCTCATCTTCCTCCAGAGGATCCTGCATCAATGGCAACTCCTGCCTGTGAGTTTGCTTTGTGAATCAGCACATCAGGAGGAGCCAGTTTCAAAAGATGTTGGGAAAGGATGGAGCATGGAGCTGAAAGACCCGTGCCGGAACTGAACGGAATGATGAGGTTCAGGTAGTTTAACTCATCAGAAAGAGAGACGGCAAAGTGACCTCATTAACTGGTACAAGCAGCTTTAAACATAAAAATATCCAGTATCAAAGGAGTCCTTCCTCAGAGAGAAACGCAAAAAATACCCAGGATGTTGGAGATGTCAACTGGAAGAGTGACGCCACTTACTGACAGCAGGATGGGCAATGATGGAAAAATCTCCTGAAGCAGCAGGCCCAGGGCTTTGCCTGTACCTCAGAGAGGCCTTATTTTTAAGGCTAAAATCCTGAGGTGAAGTGATCACACCAAAATCCTGGGATGGACTGTTCACACCAAGTGACCCAACAGCCCATCCTGGTCTCACAGCCCGCCAAAGTCTGGCCCCAGAGGATGCAGAGCCAGCATGCC